TTCGAACTCCTCCCGAAATGTCAGAGAAAATTTGAAAATTCAGTTTAATAACTTCTCTTTACCGAGTTAAAGTGCATTGTAACTCGGTGGAGTTGACTTTTGAATATTTAATGAGGTTTAATTTATCAACAATGTCCAATAATATACGTATTAAATTTTAAAAAGAAATATTGTGAGTTTGTCAAAAACCATTAAGCTTGAAAAAGTCAATTAACCTTGCGATTTTCATAATTTTATTGCTAGTTTCGGTAGCTTCAAGAAAAAGTGAGGAACATTATTTTTGATCAAAAGGTGACAAGTCAGCTAAAAGTTTAACAAAACTCATTTCGCGATTGTTCCAGATGAAAGACAATTTTTAAAGAATGTATAATTATAATTCTTTGAAAGTAATATTTTGCCAGAAACAGTTGTGGAATAATTTTTAATTAAGTAATAATTAATCAATCAAAGTACTCACACTTTCTTTTCTATGAGAAAAAGCATCCTTCCTTAAANCAAAGGGGCAAAAAACAATTGATAACACATCTAATACCTATATTTCGTATTTAATGCATCATGCTCTTTTAGGGTGGATTATTAATAATTATTATTTGTATACAAATAGTTCTACATAGGGAAATTATTCATATTTTAGGTGTTTTTGGTGATACAAACAATATAAACAACACAATTATGTATAAAAAAAAGGTGGTGTGTGTAGTTAGATAATTATTTAAACAATTTTTTCGATTGCGTATATCAATATCAATGCCCGGCTGTTTTGATAACGCTAACGCTGCTAGCTTCATTCTCTTGAAATTTCAATAGTCATACTCACGCGACTTCCGTTGCAAACTAAACTTTTACTGTCAACGCTTCAAAAAAGTAGCGCTAATAAGAAACTACAATAAATAAATAATTAAAAACCGAGTGGTAACAGGAGCCTTGAAAGCCAAGGATTTATAATCATATCTAACTATAAGACTCATTTTCGAGTTGTCGAAAGAGCTCTGCAAATTTTAAAAATAACTGTCCCGATCCTTGTCTAATCTACGTGGAAATTGTCATGATCATCATCATAAGGTCGTCAGTCCTAAGACTGGTTGGCCACGCACTTCCATTCTTTCCAAACCTGAGCTAATCAACGCATTTCCCCAAAACCAGAACAACCCATATCCTTAACTATTTGCGAACAGTAATCTAATCTAGTCTCCTGTTTCTGTCTCTAATATGTCTCTGACTAGAACTTCATGCCCTTTAAGGTGTCCTACCAACCTACTTTCTAATACCTCTTCATTTATAACTTTTTCTATCCACGGTTTCCTCATCATTCGCCTGTAACACCACATTTCGAACGCTTCTCTTTTCCGTTCCGCCGCGCCCACCGTCTGTGTTTCGCATCCGTACGGTGCCGTGCTCCAAACACCTTTCTCGAATTTCTAAATTCTAAATTTACCGGTAATTAGTCAGTAATCTGGAAAAAATAATTTATTTTTATTGTAGAAATCAAAGCCACAATAGTTGTCAAACACAACTTTACTATAGCAACAACACCAACATTTTCCATTTTGGTATAAGGCCTTTCTTAGGTAGCTTGCAAATTACTTACCTTAAATAGGACTTATACTAATGGGCAAAATGTCGATGTTGTTACTATAATCAAACGTTTTTGCCTCCAATATAATTGCAAACTTCCTCATTGATAAACAATCTACGCAAACCTCTCGAAGCCTAATAACCTTCCTCAAATTGTTTGAAATATCGTTTTTTTTTGCTTTTCATTTCTAAAAAGACAACGTCGAATATTTCGTGTTTACCATGTTCTGGATAGTATAAATCCTACAAGCATGTATATTAATAAAAGAGAATGTGCCAACAACATTTATAATGTTAACATTACGAGTATAAACGTGTCGAGAGGTTATTATTATTCAATACGCTTAATAACCGCTTGTATTTTTGGAAATCGTTAACACCTGTCGTCAATGAAAGCTGTTCACGAATGAATGCAATGTGGTTTTCAATACGAATGTCGGTCTGTGTTCTGTCTTTCACAAGAAATTTAAAGGTACCTACTGTTCTTGGTAGAAGTTTTTGTAGACATTGTCTTCCGCTAATTATCTATATATACCTACGAGACTTTCAAATAAACTTTTATGAATAGCATGGAAAGTGCATATCATAAATCAACTTTTAACATATCAAACCATACCTTAACTACTAAAAAGAAGAAATCCTTCAGAAGAAAAAGAAATCAGGAACACCCTCACCCGTAGCCGAACTCCCTAATAATCCAGCGGGCTGTAAACGAACCCCTCGAAGATGATGTACCGAAAAGTTTTTATAAAATATTCATCATCACACAGTCGCCAATCCAAAGACTGGCTCAGGATACGCACCGCAACTTCTTCCTGCCTTGAGCCAATCTTCTCATTTCCCTAAAATTAAACCTAATCATTTACAAAAAGTTTAGATCTATTTCTGCCCTTCTTAAAAGTATTTCTCCTACTTCTAATATGTCTCTAACAAAACCCTTACGTCTCAGAATGTGTGGTCCTATCTCTCCTTTCTCTAATAGACCTCCATAGCCCAGCATAATTCTTCAACCCTTTCGATTTTTTTTTAATTAATTTATGTATTTTATAAGACCGAAAACTCATTGGGGTTTTCAATAAAGTTATTAAAATCCACAATTTCTCAAAGAATGAGGGACAGACAATAAGTCTGACACTTATCTTCAGCGAAGCGAAACGCAACAATATCAACGGGGGAATCCACCCGAATTAAGAAGAATTATCAAGTCTCGATAACTATTCGCTTCGGTCGAATATTAGGTACAAATCGCCGAATCGTCACATTTCTAACATTGAAACTTCTGCTACATTTTTTACTATTGATTATAATGGCGAAAAATGAAAATTTCATCATTCGAAAGATATACTATGTCACAGATATGTATCAAAAGCGTAATGTGCATGCGTATGTGTTACTGGTTAAATTTAATTAAAATTAANTATGGTCGTCAGTCCTAAAACTGATTGGACACGTATCTCCACTCTTTCGTACCTTGACCTAATCTTCGCACTTCTCTAAAACTAGAACATCCCACATCCTTAACTATTTGTGAACAGTAATCTACTCTATGTCTACCTATTCTCCTCATAATTCCTGTTTCTGCTTCTAATATGTATGATTATAAATAGCTTTTTATACCTGAGAAGGTGTCCTACCAACCTATCTCGTCTATTTTTTATGAATCTCCACAGCATTCTCCGATTCTCGAACACTTTCCAATACCTCCTAAGTATATCGAACTTTGTAATGATGAAAACAAATTACTAACCTATTTGAATATAACCCAGTTTAAATAAAATCTTTAACAAATGCACGCACGAAAGAGAAAATATCTTTCATCATCCTTCTATGTAAATTAGTTGCATACCCGGGATTTATTCAAATAAATAGACTTATTCGAATACATTATCATAAATTGAAAAATCTTTAAAACACTTTAAATACAGATTGTGTTAAACACTTCATCATATAAGGTTGTCAGTCCTAAGACTGGTTGGAGACGTACCTCCACTCTTTCCTATCTTGAGCTAAACTTCGCATTTCCCTAAAATTAAAACAACCCACGTCCTTAACTATTTGCGAACAGTAATCTAACCTAGGTCTACCTCTACTCCTCCTAACTCCTGTTTCTGCCTCTAATATGTCTTTGACTAGACCTTAATGCCTGAGAAGGTGTCCTACCAACCTACTTCGCCTATATTTTTATTGACTTCCTCCTCATTTCCAACCTTCTCTATCCACGGTATCCTCATGATTTACTTTAAACACCACATTTCAAACGCGTCTAACCTTTTCTTTTCCGCAGCGCCCACCGTCCACGTTTAACAATCTAAATTAACCATTTGCGAGCATAGAAGTGACTTCTTTTTGTTAAAGACGACTCTACCGTGCGCTATCCTCTGTTCACTGCTCCTTCCATCCTGAGTTATCTGAATTCCAAATCAGCTACTTCTTTTAATTTTTCGTTTCCTATCTCTATATTACTCCTTCCCTACTTTTTCTTCCCTTCCATACCAGTATTTTTGTTTTACTTTTATTTATTTTCGTACTATAGTCTTTTATCAATACTACTTCTATTATTTAAGGCTATCTCCAACTGCTTGCTATATGGATGCTAATGCTGCTATATCATCTGCATATTTAAGCAGGCTGACCTTTTGTCCCTGTATATCTATCCCTAAATTTGTCCTGTCTTTAACGATATTTATTACATCTTATAAGGTATGGGTGACAGTGAGCATCCTCGTCTGATTCCCTTCCTAATATTTGCTTCTCTACGTTGCTGGTAAAGTTCTATAACTGCCAGTTGCGCTTTACTCTTTTATCTTTTGATATTGAAAATAATGATCCATTATATATGAAATATTAAACACTAGCTAACCTGGCAGACTTCGTACTGCCTCAATAGATAAATAAAAGACCCAAACTTTTGTTTAAAACATTGTTCAGAAATTTAATTTGTGACGAAACTTAAGATTTATCAATCTACATTTAGTTGATTGTGAAATGTCAAATATTATGTTTGCGTTTAGAAATTTAATTTGTGACAAATAATCTGAAAGGTAGTTAACAACTTTCATATTTAATCACCTTTTAAACCTTCTTTGGACTTCCACAAATAATTCAAGACCAAAATTAGTCAAATCGGTCCATCCGTTATCGAGTTTTAGCGAGACTAACGAACAGCAATTACAGTATCCACTATTTCTAAAACTCAGTACAGAAGCATTTGAAAGTGGTGTACTCTAACAAACTTAACATGCGATCTTGTTTTTATTTTACATTTCTGTCTCACTTTTCCGATCTGCTGAACTAACTTTTCTATTAAACAATTCAGAGTATTAGAAAATACTACAAATGGCGCAGTAAACGCCATCTGTAGCACGATGCTACATTTTTAATTCAGAGTATCTTTGCTCAGAGCATTATTTTTTGTTTTGTTCCAGACTCATTCGTTGTACTCTCATCAGCAACAATCTCAGAATAATATCCAGCAAGTATGCGATGCCGGCAGCATGTACAGAGCGTCGTATCACCAAGACTATTATAGTCATCATTTGCAAAGTACCGGTGCACTTTCAAGAGCCCAGTGGCAAGGAGATATCTCGAGACCAGTTCCCGTTTCTCGGCCGTCGGAAGAAAGCACAACCGTGGCCGGACTTAACGATCCCGGCAAAAATAATTTGCAAAAAGAAACGGGAAACAAGTCCAATAACAAAACGGTTACAAAAACATACAACACAATTAAAGATTTGATATCGAGCAAATTTAAAAGTGGCAAAGATAATGACGAAAGGAATGAACAAGAAAGTGGTTTAAATAATGCTTCTGTAGTGGATGATACCAGAAGCAAATGCAGAAATCAGGAAAATTCAGATACGAATGTCGGTCTGTGTTCTGTCTTTCACAAGAAATTTAAAGGTACCTACTGTTCTTGGTAGAAGTTTTTGTAGACATTGTCTTCCGCTAATTATATATACCTACGANGCTTAATCCAAAGCGCCACTGTTCTATTTACTTAAATTTATGCTTATACTTTTTTGTTTTATTTTAATGGAAACCTCAGATAGAAACATCTTTTTAGGGATAGCTTTGAAAAATCCTTAAATACTTACATTATTATTTGATTTAAAAAATAAGTGTACTAAGTTTCAAGTCAGTACTCAAGAAATTAAATTTTAAATTACCATTTAGGTCCCTTCATAAGAGGTTGTAAAATATGTATTTAATTATTTGTTTTAATAAGTTCTTATACCAAGTTTAATGTTGACATTAATACACGCAAGAAAAACAAATTTCCATGCAAACTTTTATACCCCATTTCATTCCCTTAACGGTTAATTTTCAAAAAATTATTTTCTTATTGCTCTTCTACATTCTCTAAGGATCACATTCACCCATGTTTCTAGTTTAAGTGGTTTAGGCTGTACGTTGTGTTATGTCATGTCAGCCAATCACGGAATTGATCACATTCATTGGAGCTTTTAAGATTGATCCAAAGTGTCACTGTTCTATTTACTTAAATTTATGCTTATATCCTAGATCTATCATACTTTTGTTTCGAATGGTATTTTGTGATTTATCATTATTTTGTACGGGTGGGTCGACCGTGTGCATCAAAATTCATTTGCACTTACTAAATAATTATTTTTTACGGGGATGTGTCCTCGAAAAGCAAATTCTGTACTCAGTACTAAAACTCTATACTAGACATTAAAAAAGTTGTTACGCCTGACATCTAGAAGTCTTTTTTGAAGAGGTATTGGAAAGAATAGGAGAACAGAGGACTGACTCTATGGAAATCAATAAAATAGGCGGATGATGAGGATAACGTGGGTAGAAAAGGTTAGAAATGAAGACGTATTAGAAAGAATAGGACAACAGAGGACTCTATGGAAGTCAATATAAAATAGGCGAAATAGGTTGGTAGGACACCTTCTCAGGCATGAAGGTCTAGTCAGAGACATATTAGAGGCAGAAACAGGAGTTAGGAGGGGTAGAGGTAGACCTAGATTAGATTACTGTTCGCAAATAGTTAAGGATGTGGGACGTTCTAGTTTTAGGGAAATGCGAAGGTTAGCTCAGGATAGAAAAGAGTGGAGGTACGTGTACAACCAGTCTTAGGACTGATGACCTTATGATGATGATTCCAAATTCGTTATATAAGTCAATTTGCTAAACACGCTGGTGTTTCTCTTTGGACTTCTCAAAATGTACTAACTCCGGTTACTTGTAATAAGGTTGTACGTATATAGAGACTAAAGCAGTTCTTAGTAATTTGGACCAAGATATTTTCAGCACCCCCTACGCCGTATTTCAATATCAGCTTATGTTTTGTAGGAAATTTCTACCTTTCTTTGTTACGAAGTAGACAGGAATATTCCTTTGTTCAATACTCTCCCAAAAATATCAATGTCTACCATCGGGCCGTTGCTGGTGTAAATGCCCACCGAAGCGTTTCTTGCACGAGCGAATACCTTTTGATAACTGTTCCCTAGAATGACTTTGGTGACATCATTTATAGGTATGGACAGGATATTCAACCTTGACAATAACCACAGCTAGCCATTGTCAGGATTTACTAACTAGCTATCATACGATATATGTAAACTCAACAAGCATGCACGGCTTCAAGTCAATCATTAGCATGCAAGGGACAATGAGACTTCCCAAGCATTACAATGAGGAGCGTTTATTACACGAATATTGAACAGCGGAGTGGAGGGCCTGCCGCCGCGTGTTATTCAACAATACACTTCACCTGCACAACTTTATTTTCACAGAAAGATTGTATCTTTCGGAATAGTTGGTGCTCATTGTGAAGGCAGTGCCCTCACGGCCTCACGCACACACACACACACACTCATCCGAACTGTACCCGTATACAGAACATAATCTGTATATTGCTATTAGTGGTATATTCTTTGATACGAGCTCACTTTTGTCCAAGGCATTGCCTCGGGCGGCTGTAGAATCGTTTGAAACTTTATTAGCTGCATACATACGTAGAAACATATAAATTCTTCGGCGTTATGGTCGAGTTCAACGTCGAGAACGTAAGTGCCTTTTTGATTGCTAATCATTCCTATGTCGTTTCACTGTGGGTGTTTGCGTGTGTAAAGTGAATGTGTGTGTGTGTGTGTATGCTCGCGTTCCAAGAAATCAGTGATGAATAGTGATAATTTTGATTTCGGAAATAATAAACGGGAAAATTGCCCTGCAGTTCAGCACTTGAAGAATTAATAGACATGTGACTGATGACCCCGCCGAGGATTCCCTATCTCGTTACATACGATTTCGTAAACTGATAATTTTTTTTAGTACAATTTTTATGTGTTTTGGCTCACTGGCTTCAGAGATAAATAGAGAAAAAAAATTAACAGTTTTATTTTTTTCTATCCCCGTTGCTATAAATCTCAGATCCTAAACTTCATGAAATAAATCGAAACAAACGTAGTATTTTTTTCTTCGAAACTGTAACTGTCAGAGACATCATTTTAGTAATGAGTAAATATTTTAGATTTTTCAGTCAGCAAATTTCTAAAGCAATAGAGATAAAATTTTTGACACACGGTACTTATTAAATTCAATAAAATTTACATAATAGTTGACTACATTTTACCCTCGACTTCGTCTGTGCTGATTTAGTATATAAACATTGAGTAGTGCTAAAAGAAGAGGGCGAAGTTGTTCTGCAAACCCAAATTAAGGCGAGGTTACTTTTTAATATACTTTCTTTTCTTTAATTTTATGCTGTTTTTTGTTTTATTTTAATGGAAACCTCAGAGAAAAACATCTTCTTAGGAGTAGCTTTGAAAAATCCTTAAATACTTGCTTAAAAAATATGTGTACCAAATTTCAAGTCAGTACTCAAGAAATTAGATTTTAAATTACCCTTTGGGTCCCTTTATAAGGGTTTGTCGTAAAATACGTATTTCATTATTTGTTTTAAAAAGTCCTATGGCAAGTTTAATGTTGATATTGATATACACAAGGAAAACAATTTTCCATGCAAACTTTTAAACCCTATTTCACCCCCTTATGGTATTTTCGAAAAATCCTCTTCTTATTGCTCCTCTACACTCTCTAAGGAACACAGCCTCCCATGTTTCTATTTTTAGTGGTTTAGCCTATACAATGTCGTGTCAGCCAATAACGGAATTGCAAGCGTGAATAAAGGGGGGGGGGCAGTTAGGGAGTTCGAACTCCTCCCGAAATGTCAGAGAAAATTTGAAAATTCAGTTTAATAACTTCTCTTTACCGAGTTAAAGTGCATTGTAACTCGGTGGAGTTGACTTTTGAATATTTAATGAGGTTTAATTTATCAACAATGTCCAATAATATACGTATTAAATTTTAAAAAGAAATATTGTGAGTTTGTCAAAAACCATTAAGCTTGAAAAAGTCAATTAACCTTGCGATTTTCATAATTTTATTGCTAGTTTCGGTAGCTTCAAGAAAAAGTGAGGAACATTATTTTTGATCAAAAGGTGACAAGTCAGCTAAAAGTTTAACAAAACTCATTTCGCGATTGTTCCAGATGAAAGACAATTTTTAAAGAATGTATAATTATAATTCTTTGAAAGTAATATTTTGCCAGAAACAGTTGTGGAATAATTTTTAATTAAGTAATAATTAATCAATCAAAGTACTCACACTTTCTTTTCTATGAGAAAAAGCATCCTTCCTTAAATCAAAGGATTAACTAAGGCGTTCACTGTCGGTCTTAGGATTCGACATTGGGCTTTGATGGTCGTGGCTCAGAAATTCAATGAGTCCCGGAAAGAAGCTATTTATCCAATGTTTTGCCAACTTCTTTGTCTTTGATTGATACCCTCATTCCTCAGGAAACGTACTGAAAGCGTAGAATATTTGGCAGCAATGGTGTTGAGACTGAACCAATCCTGTACCACGACCATTAAACCCGAATATCAGATCATCTGCATCTGTCCCTAGCATATAAAATTCCCTTCATTTTACCTCTAGAGATGTGGAAAATGGTTTTTTAAAAGTATTTAAATACAAAATGCAAATACTTTTTTGATTTGTTATTTCAAATGTAAAATACAAAATAGATTTCCCTTTTGTATTTTAAATGCTAAATGCAAAATATTTTTAAATTAA